CAAATCAGTCAGCAGTGAAATGCAATCTCACATATAGGCATGACTGGGAAATTCGACCATCTCACAAATACCCTAGCTGTCATGCAATTGCAGCTCCTCAACATGGACAAAGGCAAATACCACATAGAGGAATCCATCTTTGGGGCCTACCAAGAGGGCTCACCCAAACAACACCAAAAACCAAAAACTCAGCTCGACCATCCTCACATAATTAGCCCTCTCCCTAAAATTGATTTTCCCCACTTTGATGGCACCAACCCTCGAACCTGGATTTTGAAATGTAACAGCTATTTCAGACTCATGCCCAACATTCCAGATCAGCAAAACGTACATCTAGCCTCTATGCACTTAGAAGGAAAGGCAGCCCAGTGGTTTCAGAATTTCAGTACCAGGTGTGTAGACATCACTTGGTCACAATTTCTAGATGTCCTCTCTGCTAGGTTTGAAGAGCTGAAAGAATCTAGGATTATTGCTGAATTTAACAAGCTTAGGCATACTGGGCCTTATCTTGCCTATGTTGAAAATTTTTGAAGAACTCAGGGCATGCATGCTTTGTATGAACAAAGACTATACTGAGGATTACTTCATTGCAAGTTTTGTTAGTGGACTTTCTGAGGAGTTGCAGTCATTTATTCATATGTTTGAGCCTGTCACTCTACAACAAACTATTGACCTTGGGAAGAAACAACTGGTTACTCTGGAAGCTATTACTAAAAAGCTGAAACACTCCAACAAACCTTACAACACCCCTTTTCACCTACCCAATAGACCTGACATTTACCCCAATTGTGATGACAAGTATACCTATAGCCACAGATGTAAGCACAGGTTAAATTACATGGTTATGACTGAGGATGAAGAGGTCAGCTACTTACACTCCACTGAGCACTTGACTGAAGAGAACTCAGATTTTGAGAATTTAGAAGAAATCTAAATGTCACTTAATGCAATTGTTGGGGCTGATGGTTTAACAACCATGAGAGTGAAGGGATCTAGTGGGGACCACTCCCTCCATATCCTCATTGATTCAGGAAGCACCCTTAGCTTTATACAAGCTAGTACTGCCAAGAACCTTAACCTTCCCTTGAAAGTTGCTACCCCTGTGGTTGTTAGGGTGGCTAATGGACAAAGGATGCTCAGCACTCAAGTAACTGATGGGTTTACCTGGAAAATGCAAGGCCATACCTTCTCATATCCACTGAGAGTTTTGGATAATGAGGGCTGTGACATGATCCTAGGGGGTGATTGGCTTAAGAGCAGTACCCCCATTGAACTTGATTATGCGAACATGTGTGTCACAGTCAATCTTCAAGGCAAAAGGGTCAGGTTGCAAGCATTAAAGTCAGAGGCTCATTGCAGATTTATCACAGGACATACCTTGTACAAACTCATACATGAACAGCTGACTACTGAAGTGGAAGAGGTTTATTGGGTTACCCTTTTTAAACCTGATACTCAGAGTTCTCACTCTCAAGTGGAAGCACTTTTGGAAGAATATCACACAATTTTTCAGGAACCAAAAGGTTTACCCCCTAGTAGGGGGGTGGAGCATCAAATTACACTTAAACCTAACAGTCTACCCAAACACCAATACCCATACAGGTCTTCTCACACTCACAAGGGAGAAATTGAAAAGATTGTCCAGGAAATGCTGGCTGCTGGTATTATAACAGACAGCAAGAGCCCATTTGCCTCACCAGTCATTTTGGTCAAAAAGAAGGATGCTACCTGGAGATTGTGTGTTGATTATAGGTATCTCAACAACCTAACAGTCAAGCATGATTATCCTATTCCTGTCATAGATGAATTACTTGATGAGCTACAGGGAGCCAGGTACTTTTCTAAAATAGACTTACGGTCTGGCTATTTTCAAATCCTAATGAACAAAGAGCACAAGTACCTAACTGCTTTTAGTACCCACAATGGGCACTATGAATTCTTGGTAATGCCCTTTGGGCTGTGCAATGCCCCTGCGACCTTTCAATATTTAATAAATAAGGTCTTCAGAGAGCTGTTGAGGAAGTGTGTTCTTGTCTTTTTTGATGACATACTTATCTATAGCAAATCATGGGATGAACACCTCTCTCATCTGAGGCAGGTACTTCAGCTTTTAAAACATCACCAATTATATGCTAAAAAGAGTAAATGCCACTTTTCTCAAGAGAAGGTTGAATATCTTGGCCATATCATTCTCACCAAGGGGTGTCTACTGATCCACAAAAAATAGAAAGCATGGTGAATTGGCCATTACCTAAGACCCTAAAGCAACTTAGAGGGTTCTTTGGTCTCACTGGCTACTACAGAAAATTTATCAGAGGGTATGGCATACTCAGCAAACCCCTAACTGACCTCCTTAAAAAGGACCAGTTCAGATGGGGCCCAGCTGCAGACATGGCTTTTCAAGAGTTGAAGCATGCCATGACAAGTGCCCCAGTACTGGCTTTACCAGACTATACCAAACCTTTTACCTTGGAAACTGATGCCAGTGGCAAAGGTATTGGGGCTGTCCTAATTCAACAAGGACAACCTATTGCTTATATGAGTAAGGTTGTTTGTCCTAAGAATCAAGCTTTATCTATTTATGAAAGGGAATTCCTTGTTGTGCTTATGGCTGTTCAAAAATGGAAATATTACCTACAAGGACACAAATTTTTTATCAACACTGACCAACAGGCTCTTAAGCACTTGTTGGACCAGAAGGTCATGACTCCTGTGCAACATAAGTGGATAACAAAACTTTTGGGACTTGATTATGAGATTCACTACAAGAAAGGTTCTGAAAATAGGGCAGCAGATGCTCTGTCCAGAAGGGGACTTGATGATCATTGTTTGGCTTTGTCCACCCTCACCCCACTTGGGTGCAGGAAGTGAAGGAAAGTTATCAGGGTGACACCTTTTTGTCCAAAGTGTTGATTGCTACTGTTATTCACCCTACTACTTATCCTAAGTTCACAGTTACTGAAGGGATAATTAGGCATAATGGGAGAATTGTTATTGGCAGTGGTACCAAATTGAGAGATTCTATTCTATCTACCATGCACAACTCCTCTTATGGGGGTCATTCTGGAGCTTTGGGCACCTATATGAGGGTTAAGAGTGTTTTTTACTGGCCTGGGCTAAAAGCAGATGTCCTTAAATGGGTTCAGCTATGTGATGATTGTAAGAGGAGTAAATCCCTCCCAGGTGCCTACCAGGGACTGCTTCAACCTTTACCAATCCCTGACAGGGCTTGGACACATATTGCCATGGATTTTATTGAGGGACTCCCCAAATCAGCTGGGAAGGATGTTATTTTGGTGATCATTGACAGGTATACCAAATATGCTCATTTTCTAGCCCTGTCCCACCCTTTTACTGCTCCTGTGGTGGCTAAGTTGTTCCTAGATTCTATTTACAAATTACATGGTCTCCCAGTGAGTATTGTCTCAGATCGAGACAAAGTATTCACCAGTGCGTTTTGGAAAGAGCTCTTTAAACTCCTAAGGGTTCAACTTAACATGTCTTCTTCTATCACCCTCAATTAGATGGGCAATCAGAGAGGCCGAACCAATGCCTTGAGAACTACCTCAGAAGCATGGTTCATACCAATCCCAGGCAATGGCTGAAATGGTTGCCTCTTGCAGAATATTGGTACAACACCAATTTCCACACTAGTCTCAAAAGGACCCCATTTCAGGCTTTATATGGCTATCCACCTCAAAGTTTCTCTATGGTCCCCTATCTTGACTCTACCCAAACTGATGTCACAGAACTTTTACATGAAAGACAGATGCAAGCCCAACAACTCAAAATGAATTTGCAGCAAGCATAGCCACGCATGAAATTTTATGCTGACTCAAAAAGGGAAGACACACAATTTAAAGTGGGAGAGCAGGTATTTTTAAAACTTCAGTTGCCTTAAGGAGCAATGTCAAGTTGTCGGCTAAATTTTTTGGCCTTATACTATCCTAGAAAAGATTGGCCCAGTATCTTACCGTTTGGCTCTTCCTCTTGACTCTAAGATCCATCCGGTCTTTCATTGCTCTCTCCTCAAGCGGCGATTGAATCTTCCTACTCAAGCTTCACTCCAGCTTCCTGATACAAATGAAGAGGGTGTTATTCATGCATCACCCATTGCTATTACTGGTAAAAGAATGGTCTTGCGCAGTGGAAAGGAATTACCTCAGGTGTTGGTCCTTTGGCATGATACACCTCCTCAGCTTCAAACATGGGAAGATGCAACCTTTCTTCGCCGTTGCTTTCCAAGTCTTGATCCTTGTGGTCAAGGATCTCAAAATGGCGGGGGTAATGTCATATACTCAACCGCCGGTGACAAAAAAGGAGCAATTTTGAGTGATAAAGCGATCGACTTTGAGGATGGGAAGCAAGGTTTGATTGAAAGGGAGACAAACTGTGAAGAAAATGAGAAATTTGTGGTAATGAAAGGGGCGATTGGATCTGAGATACAGAAATTAGGGCTTATCGTGAATCCCGAGGAAAAAGACTACGAAATGGGCGACTTTGGGCCTAAGTGATATCTTGGTGGGCCACAGAACATTTATCTTATTTGGGCTAGTAAATTGTTAGTTAAATTGTTATTTCAATTAGTGCTGGGCCAATTGATGTTTTAGCCCATTTGCTGTACTAGTTTGTTAAAGATTGTGGGACCGCATGTTGGGTAAAAGTGTGGAGAATGAACAGAATTGTCAGACTTTGGCAGATCAAAAATCCTCTCTCTCTCTCTCTAATTCCTCTCTTTCTCTCTCTATCATCATCTTCCTCCATTTCTATCAATCCTTCACTAATAATAACTCAAAATTACAGAAAATTTCTAATTATACATCAGAGCTTAACAAAAATCTATTTCAGGGTTTGTGTTTACATTTGCAGGAGGAGCAGTATCTTGGCAATCTAAATTGCAGAAATTTGTTGCCTTGTCGACTACTGAAGCAGAGTATATTGCAATGACAGAAGCAGGAAAAGAAATGCTTTGGTTGAAGAGGTTTCTTCAGCAATTGGGAATGAAGCAGGAAAGGTACGATATCCATTGTGATAGTCAGAGCGCTATGGATTTGAGTAAGAATGTGATGTACCACTCTCGCACGAAGCACATTGATGTCAAATATCATTGGCTACATCAAGCAGTGGAAGAACAACAGTTCAAGTTGGAAAAGATTCACACTGACGATAACCCTGCTGACATGATGACGAAAGTTGTAACAGGAGGAAAGCTTCAGCTTTGTGCTGAGTTGATCGGCATGGAATGCATGTGATATTTGCAGAATGTTACCCTTTGGCTGGAGGGGGAGAATTGTGGGTCCAGCCCAAAGAATCAACATTTGGTATGTGGTTGTACAACACAAAACAACAAAACTTTTGTCACATGGTTGAAAACAAACTAACAAAATTTAGTTGGCACCGGGCAAAGAAAAGTAGCTATATGGTGCAGGTTTAATGTGATATTTTCTCCTATAAATAGAGAGCAGTGGACAGAGGAAAGGATGCACCAAGGAGAAGAAAGAAAAAGAGAGAAGAAATAACATCTTGTGAGTGTTATTTTTCAGTGAAATAAAAAATAGAGTGTTTGAGTAAATCCTGTGAGTGTGGGAAAAATAAACCAGGTTGGGTATCAACTCTATTATTCCTTGTTTAAGAGTGGGGTCTCACTGGGTCACTATATTTTACTTTTGTAGTGTAAGGGAGTGTGAAAAGATATTGTAATTATCTTGAAAATATAGTAGAATTGTTCGGCGGTTGTCCCGTGGTTTTTTCCCCTATTTAGAGGTTTTTCCACGTTAAATCTTGGTGTCTTATTTCTTGCTTATTTTATTTATTTGGGATATTCTTAGTATGCTCTGTGGTTGCAGTTTAATCTAATCTCCCACATCAGAAAAGAATTATTCCGGTATTATTGCAAGAGATTTTTTTTTGTCATTCTTGAGTTGCTGGGATTGGGATTATTGTTTACCATTTTACCTTGATATTTTAATTTACATCTTCCGCATTGTGTATCTGAGTCCAACAGTTGCCGCTGTGATAAGTTTGTGTGATTTTGGTGTCTCGTTTTGTTGTTTCGTAGTCTCGTTATAATTTCTTTCGGGTCGTCTGGTTCGTTGTTTTCAAACCGTGTTTTTGACGTTTCGTTTTTCCGAACAAACTCGATTTTTATAAGATTTTCGAACTCGGGATAAAACTTGTTGTATTTTGGAAAACTGTCTGAGTAATATCGAAACCCGTTCGTTCCAAATGGTCTAAACCGTTGCCAAAAAATACTCTTGTTGTGCAGTCTCTGTTCAAATTCGCAGGCGTTTGTTACATCCAATAAACCGAGAATTCATTTTAAGTCGCAAGTAGGCGTGTGGTGCAGCGGTGACTGTGCCCATTACCTCGTGTGAGGTCAAGGTTTTGAACCTTGCCTTCGCATATTTTTTTTTTGGAATTCTCCCCAGATAGCAGCGCGGGCCACCTCGGCCCGATAAGCCCGCGCGCGGCCCGAGAGTCTTAGCAGCTTGAGCTCGCATTGTAGCCCATCTCCCCCTCTGCACTCTCAGCCCGCGTGTGGCCCAGTTACGGCCCGCGTGGCCTCAGCCCTTGTGAGCTTTGGGACAAGTTATCCGGCCCAATTTCGCGGCCCAAAATTTCAGAAAGTAGCCAAAGTGGCCCAGTTAGCTTTCCAGCCCATTTTTGTGTTCCGAAGCCCGTTTTTTAATACCGATTTTAATTTTAAAAATTATTTTCAAATGAGAAAAATTTAGGGAAAATTATTTTAAGTTCCGAGGCTCCAAATTAATTTTTCGGGTCATATTTTGCAAAAATGAGAGAGTTCCAAGTCCACGAATAATCCTAAAAAAACCCTTAAATCTTAATTTTTATTAAGTATGGGTTTTATGTTAAACTCGAGTAGTGAGATAGATTATTGATAAATTATCTCGCTTAAATGTAGGTGTTTGAGGAGTCGAGACTCATCCTACGTACTTGCCCTTGTGTGATATTCTATCCCGAAATTATCCAGGTGGGTTGTAATTGTAAAATTTGCTATGCCTTAATTAATTGTTTTTGTTGTGATATGATCAAAGTATGCATGTGAACCATGTAGCCTTCGAAGTGAGTTATATTGGCCGTCGAACGGTTATCCCCGTAGCTATAGAACGTACCTTCGGGTAGTCTCCTTTATTATTGTTGGCAGTCAGGGCGTGAGCTTTGGCTGGTGATCCTCGTATGTAAGGCCAAGGCGTGAGTTTTGGCATTCGGGGTGGATTATTGCTCCTTCTAGTCGGGCACTCGTTGTAAGGCCATCGAGGAAGGCGTTCGGTATATAGCTCGGCAGTAGTCTATTGTTATAGGTGTGTACATGAGACCATTATTGATTATTGATAGGAGATGTGGCGGTTATTGGTTCGTATACATGCTGCGACCATACTTGAATGTTTTCATGATTATTGATATTAATTATTGCATAGCGGTGAGCACATCGACTTTCCTATTGTGCTCATCCCCACCTGCTCTTCATGGATGCAGGTTAGTTTAAGCGGCACGGCGGAAGGGATGCGAGTGGTGGTCTTTAAATTGTTTAATGCTTCCGTCTTGAAAAACTGAACTTGGATATTATTGCATTATTATTGATTATTATTTTTCTAGTATTGGAGTATTGGATTATTGATGGGATTATTTCCCTAGGATTATTGTTGGATTATTGATTGATATTGGGATTTTCATATTGATTATGAGTATTGATAATTGCCGAGTATTGAGAAAATGTTGAGCATTGACTATTGTTTTGAAAATGAGTAGCCCCTCAAATATTGTTTTTGAAATAAATTCGAAAAATTTATTCTAACTTTTGGTAAATAAAAGTGGGGCGTTACATATTAGCATAATAGACAAATAAACTATATAAACTCATGAAGTAAACTATTAATATGAAATAATACTTAAAAACACTAATTACTTACATGATAAAAAAAATAAACATATATTCAGCATAGACATTGTAAAACATGATATAATATAAAAATCTCAAGTATTTGTACAAGTATACTCAGCATAATCATGAAATAAACTATACAGCACTGGATAACAAACCATGTTCAACCATAAGAAAAAAAAAAATCTAATTTATAACCATGTTCAACAAAGCCTTGATCATGAAGCAGTTGTGGAGAATTATTGAGAAGCCTGAGCTGTTAATGAGCAAAATATTAAAGCAGAAATATTTCAAAGAGTGCTCTATTTTCGAATGGCAGAACAATGGGGGTGCTTCCTGGTTGTGGACATCTTGGGCTTCTTTCCTTCCTGATTTGCAACAATATGTGAAACTCACTATAAGGAATGGCCTTCACACTAGGCTTAATGAAGTCAACTGGGTGCCTGGTATTAACTGTGGGAAGCCTGAGCTCAGAGTTGGTATTGATGGGGGTTGTTTAGAGTGAAAGATCTGATTATGGCTGGAGGGAGGCACTGGGATAGCATGCTTGTTAGATCCTTGTTTGCACCTGAGGCAGCTGATGAAATCCTCAAGATCAGTTCTTTAATCCCCAGGTTTGATGATGTCTGGCAATATGATCTGTTGGTTAATGGGAAGTTCTCTGTCAGACAGACTTATGGTAAACTCTTGGCTAGGAAGTTGAGGGGGGGGGGCAGTGGCTGAAAGTAGTGGTTTAGCAGAGGGTAATAAAAGAGCAAGGAGTAGATGCTGGAAACTCAGGGTGATGGGGAAAGTAAAGCACTTGATCTGGCAAGCTTTCTCCAATATACTCCCTGTTTATGCTAATTTGTAGAATAGAAGATTGAAGATTGATGTTATCTGTGGAGTTTATGGGGAGGAGCCAGAATCCCTCGATCACTTATTTTTTTTTCTGCAGGAAAGCAAAGATAGTCTAGCAGTTAGCCCCGGTGCAATGGAATAGAGTGCAGGAAGAACAGATGTCTTTCAAAAAATGGTGGTGGTGGCTTAGTTCAATGAAGTATGATGAAGTTTCTGAAGACAGGATTCAGCTATCCACATACATTTTGTGGTGGCTTTGGAGAGCTCGTAATTTGTGGGTGTTCGAGAGGCAATGGCTACCTGAGGACTGGATTATCAAAGCTGCACAGAGGGATTGGCTTGAATTTAAAACCAGCATCAGGACAGAGTGAACAGAAGCTAGGGATTAGCTTAGGTTTTTGTGTCAGTGGGCTATGTTCCTTGCTTATGTTTCCTCCTTGAGTTTGTATTCAGTGTGTTGTGGTTTCTTATGCTGTAATGTTCCATTTTGTATGTGTGTAGCTCTGTTGGGGTCTAGTTCTTGGGGTGGTTTTCTTGTTGTTTGGTTGCTTGCTGTATTTCCCAGGTTAGGCTAGCTCTTGGCTTGTCCTCCACATAAAAAAAAGGACCAGTTTTTACCAATTTAAACATGAATCTTTTCAAAGCAAAAGAGTATTCTTCAACAATTTTAAAAGGTTTAGTGGGACCATATTAAGAATTATTGCATATATCTACTTTTTCGCCAAATTTTTATTAACGAAAATCAACTTCATCAACTGTGGGACCACATTATATTGAAAATACAAGATTTTGACTTTCTGAAATAGGAACTCAATATATTAAATTAACAGATAACATAAAACGATGCTAGTTCACCTTGTATACTTTGCCTATCTGAGCATCTCCAATTGAATTTCTTACTGTCGTGTTATCTTTTGACATCTTTTTTTGTAATGACGTCCATCTTCTTGGATTCCATCCTTCATTTTTTAGTCATCCTCATATTCATCACTCAATTTATCTTCAAAGTCATCTACTGCAGTGTATGTTTCATCCTCACCATGATAATTTGGATCCCGCGCTTCCGCATGCGGTATCTTTCTTTTTTGAGGCCTCCGAGCATCTTTGTGATGACATTCGCCATGGTCCGACTGAAAGTCGTCAGAATCTGGGTTGGCGCTCTGCCTGATGTGTCGAGATTCGCCGAGTTCCTTGCTTGTTCCAGTTGGCTTCATGTTCTTTTTGAAATCGAGCTTTTCTGGATGAGTGTACTTTTATCTTTGGCCACAATTTGTTTGACACGAGTACTCGATCGCCTATGTGCATCAACACCGGCAACGCGAGTTGGGGGTCGCCTGCTATGGGAGGTATTTTGTTTTGGCCATGAAAATGGAACCTAAGGTTTACTAATAAGGCAGTTGCGTTGTGTGGGTTGTGGGTTTGGTGTGTGAGAGAGATGAGCATGGATAATGTGAGAACGGGGGTTCGTTTTGATTTAATTTGGTAACTTATCCTCCAAAATCTGTGTTAATTGAATAAAATATATTATTACTCCTACACTTAATGTGCCGTATAATTGCAATAAAATTACAAGATTTTGTATTTTTGCTAAAGTTTATTAGTGAAATGTAAAATTGCAAATAAATAATTGTGGACTTGTGCCAAGTAATTTCCTATTTTCTCGCATGAATGCTTTACGCAAGGATAAATGGGCTTCACTGGTCCATATCTAAAACGAGCAAGCCCAATTTTAAATAAACAACGGAACACCCGGATAATACCACTCGACGTCTCGAATTAGTGTCTACCGCACTTGCTTCACAAAACTCACTCCTACAGAATTTCCATTTTTTGTTACTCATTTTCTTCGTTCTCATTTTTCTGGTGCGTTCGTGATTCTTCTCCTCTCCCACTCAGGTAAGTCTCTCTTCTTTTCTGTAATTTTATTTATTTGTTTCTATTAGTCGCAAATTTTTAGGGTTTTCATATTTTTCTGCTATCGTTTTTGTCTTTGTAAGTTCTTGTGCAAGCGTGAGTACATTAATCGTAGATGGGATTTTTTTTGTTATCCTCGCCGATTGAACGCGGAGACCTAGGATGTAGAAGATCATAACATGAGCGATTCGGCTTGTTTATGGATCTAATTTACGACGGCCTTTTCGATTTTTGGACTGCTATTTGGTGTGCCGGTGGATTGGATCCATCCATCTTTGTGTAATATGTTGTTTGCCATTGTTTAGGTTATTTGAGATCTTTACTTAATTGTTTGGATTTATGGAGCTGATAAGTTTGGTTTGCCTAGTTGGTTTTTAGAATTCCATGAACATATTGCGGGGCAACATGGGGACAATCAAAAGAAAAAAGGACAAAATGGGATGTGATTGCTCACATTTGAGATAGTAGCTCAGTGGTTGAGCATTGTGCTTGGGCTGTGAGGGATCCCAAAATTTTGGTTTATACCCAAACAAAATTAGATATTAGATATTGTGGGAGACCCTACCTAATACTACTAGGATTAGGGTCTCGGCGGGTAAGGTAAAACCGTAAAAAATTAGGAAGAGGTGTTGTATTCCTAGTTTTCTTTGTGTACTGGCGTTGAATCGTTTTGTTGTATGGTGTAAGATTCTGGATCAGCTTGCAGGTTCTGTGCCACGTTTTTCATCAAGAGAAAAAAAAAAAAAGAAAGAAAAAAACATAGAGGGTGTTTGGGAACCTGACTCATGTTGTATACATTATTTTTTGCTTGAGAACTCGTCTGATACATCCTGTTTGTGGATTTTTATGGTGCCTGTGCACAAGTTTCTTGTTCCCGATGTGGTTTTACAATAATGTTTCAATCAGATTGTGGTTTATACTGATGATGATTTATGTCCAACCACCACAAAAAGCTGCGTCTTATGGAATTGCATATGCTTTTGTTATCTTATATGCAAAGCTATTTGCACATGTTATGTATTTTGAGTATTTGTTGTTTCTAGATTGTATTTCACGATACCAGGAAGGTAGGACTGCTTACAGCCTTGTCTTTTAAAATCAATGGAGCCTTATAAAATTATTATTATTATTATGCTTCATAGCTTACCTTTCTTTTTTTTTTTTT